GTGTTTTGGGCCTTGCCAAGTTTCGCGGCGTTACGTGCCTCGTTTTTTTGCATACACGATCAGTATCTACTTTTTGGATTTTCGATTTTCGGTCCCCGTCCCCCCCTATCGAAAACCCGTGGCGCCGCCCCTGCTAGGAGCTCGAGTCGTTTCTCCTCTTCTTCATAGCTTCTACGAAGAGACGATGACGAATCTGCAGCTGACACCGTGAGCCAGCTGCCAGATCTCGGCATAGGCGTCGGCGTCGGTCTTGCGCTCAACGATCGTCTTGGTGCCGGAACCGGCCTCCTTGAAGTATCCATGTCAATCGGATGATGCAACTCACTTTTACTGCATCAACTTTACGTTAATTAAACTGTTTCCGTTGTTTCAGCTAATAATCAATTAAAATCTTACCTCTATTGAAGGCATTGCGAACTGCAACACCATAGCAAGGCAAAGATTATCGCCAAATTATAATGCAAATTACGCAAAAATTATTGTTCATCAATGTTGCGTACTGCAACAGTGTACGTTAGGGTGTGTCATTTTGGGCACTTTTTTCGCAAAACATGGTGCTCCACTGATTTTATCGTGCCCCAGACACGTAGAAACCGTGTGGCATTTTTTATTTCCCCCAAATATTAACACCCATGCGGCGCCGACCGCCGACACTTTGGCCTATCTCTCAGCATTAGCGACCTCAGCGCCCCTAGCGGCAATGTTTTGAACTAACACGCTCGCTATGCTTTGTGAGCTTACGATCATCATTAAATGCATTTTACCGAAATGACGCCTTGCTGTTGGCTTGTCTGGCACTCAGAATGTTGGTGAAAATGTGATGTTATGCATCTTAACCCGCGCCCTGGTGGGGGGGGGGGGGCTATTTTTTGCCCCCCCTCCAGACTTTTCGATATATCTCCAGAACCGCTGCGCCAATCGTCACCAAACTTTCAGTACCCTCCCGGACATCAATTTTACACATTGTGACCAAAAATTTATCCAAAGGCTATGATAGGTTGGCCGAAAATGACGTCAGAGTGACGTCATGTTCTGCCGTTTTCGACCCAAAAAAGGGTTTCGCGGAAAGAGCTGTCAGGCCTATAGCTTTGCAAATACAGAAAACGATAAAGACATAAAAGCTGTAGAATCGACAGGGCTACAAAACTGCTATCTCGAATTTTTGAAATTTTTGGATTTTGACCCCCAAAAATCAAAAAATAGATTTTTTGATTATAATAGCCGAAAAATCCAAAAAGTTTTTTGAATTTCGAAAAAACCGGAATATATGTGATAGTCCTTACCGCCTTCTATCAACATACCAAATTTGAGATCGATACCTCTTTTTTTGGCCAAGTTACAGCGAAAAAACTGTTCAAAATTGATGACGTCAAATTTTCAAACTCAATTTTTAGCAATTCTAGACCTCGTAGCGCAAAACAAAGACCACCATTAGACTCCCCGTGACGAGCTGCATCGAATCAATACCCATTTTATGCAAAAATATCAACTTTGAAATTTGACCTTTTTTGACCTGACCTTGACCTGACCTCCACCAGAAAGTGGCCTAAGCCGTACCTGATAGTCTTATAACCAACACCATTGAGTTGGAAATGAAAAATTGGTCATAAAACATGCATCGCACAACCTTAGTACCTAGATAGGTTCATGTGACCTGACCTGTGACCCTTGGTGACCTGACCTGTGACCTGACCTGGTAATGTCAGTGACCTCTTATAGCAATATATGTACTAGGCAACTGACGCCCTATCGCTGATTCTCGACAAAATGCGTTTTCTTCGGTGTTATAGCGCATTCCCTAGATGACCCGTGAACGGTGAAACATTTCATCTTTGACCTGACCTGTGACGTCATCGGTGACCCCGAGGTCAATGAAATTTGGTTTCCTTCGACAAATTTGACAGGCCTTTCAAACGCCGTTTGAATTTTGCGGATCCGTCCAGTAGTTTCGGAGATACGAGGGGGGGGGGCAAAAAATAGCCCCCCCCCACCAGGTCGCGTTATAAACAGACCCCACCAGGGCGCGGGTTAAAGCACGAAATAGTTCTGTGTTAATGTATATTGCATAGTACTACCCCCGATCCCCGTCCTGGTCTGACGGGATACGTACGAGCGCATGTTTATAGTGCCTGCTATTAGTTGTCACATGTTTTTTTTTGTAGCGTCGTTCACTGCATAGACCCCGGGGAACAGGGGGGGGGGGCAGTGGGGGCGCTTACCCCCCCCCCCCTCCAACTTGAGAGCCGAGTGGGCGCCGCCCCCTCAACAATGATGCAACGATGAAGGATCTCTGCTCCCTTTTATGGACCTACATGTCTGTTTTATATAAACATCAGCACAAGGTATTTCTCTTACATGTGAATGGTTTCTGCTGATTCGGCATCGATTTAAGAACACCTGCTATTGTCATCCCACTTTGATTTTATCTGAACTTGATCATAACTTTGGTAGGTCAGATTTTTTACTGGACCATTTTGGTTCCGGATGGTATTTGATTTGGCGTGATGAGAACATTATGACGTACAACGGTGGTAAAGTCGTTGATTGATACAGGTTTACTCGCTCCGGTGGGAGGCAGTAGCGGCGGAACACCTTCAATTAAGTGAAGGGGGGGGGGACACTGCCGACTTTTGGTCCCATTCTTTCCATGCAACGCCCATAGGGCTAATGTTAAAATGCCCAAATCAGAGGGGGCACGGTGCCCCGGTGCCCTCCCCGTTCCGCCGCCTATGGTGGGAGGGCGACGTGTGGGACTCAGAAGGAGACTAATGGCTTGTGTTGTGCCTTTGGTAGGACCCTCAGTATCACCGATGCAGGGCCTTCAGAGCCTCCAATTAGGGGCCTTTAGAGGCACTGGTGTGGGGTCCTCACAGACGCCCATGTGGCCCCTCAGAGGTGCTAGTGTGAATCCCTCATAAGCGCCGGTGAGGGTCCTCACAGAATACAGACGCCGTTGTGGACCCTCAGAGACACTGGTGTGGGTCCGTTACATGTAGATAGATAGATAGATAGATAATGTATTAGGATCCTCCACAAAGTGGATTTTATGGTATCCACGTCAATACATAAATGCAAAACACTTTTGACAGACATTGCACAGACAAACCAACGCCAGACACCTATCTATCAAACATACAATGTTAAAATTGAACAGTAGTGCTAAACTGTGGCTACTCTAAAAATGAACACCATATAAAAGTGGAAATATAGAAGGCAATGAAACAGGTGCATGACATCAGCATACAAGCTGATGGTAAAATATATAAATGTCTACAAAATAGATAGAAATCCTTAAAGAAAATAAGAACCACTAAAATGCATACATGTAGGTAGATACTATATAGATAAAAAATAAAAGGCACGAGGACAGCCCTATCACTTCAGAACACTGTTCCATGCAGCAACTGCTCTAAAAAGAAAACTGCGTCGCGCCATCTCTGTTTTGACGCGTGGCAACTGCAGCTGGCCACTCGCTGCTGCTCGGGTACTCTGGCCGGATATCTCAGAGCGATGCACGAGCTTCGCTCTCAGGATCTCCGATGCGTCTGACGCAGTGAGTAGGCACATGTGGGTGTGTGGCCCTTAGAGCTGCTGGTGCGAACCCTTTAAAAGTCGGCAGGGGGCCCTCAACGACCGGGGAGGGGGACCTCAGACCGGCAAGGGGCCCACAGAGGCCGGCGGCATTTTCAGAAGCCCTGTGGGGTCCTTAGATACCGACAAGGTACTCTGAGACGCCAGTGCGGCCCTCAGTCTCTGGTGTAGGGCCCTCAGAGTTGCAGGTAGGTGGCCGTCAGATATGCTTTTGCCGAACCCTCACAGGCGCAGGTGTGGGTACCTCAGAGCCACCAATATAGGGTTGCATAAATGGTGTGGCACTGGCTTGGGGGACCCTCAGTGGTGTCCTTATGGGCCCTTAGAACCACTGGTGTGGATCTCTCAGAGGTGCTGGTTGTGAACCCTCAGAGGCCCTGCTGAGGGCCCTCACGGTCTCCGTTATGGGATCCTCAGAAGCCGGCGTAGACCCTGACGGAGATCTTAGTGTGGGTACTTAGGGGCTCATGAGGTGCTCTTACGAGACCTGTGAGGTCTTTCTCAGCTGAAATATAGTCAGCGTGGACCCGCAGAGGTCAGTTGGTACCGCAGGGGTCTTTATGGCCGGGTGGGCTCTCAGAAGCACCAGTGAGGGCCCTCAGTCTCACAGTCGTCGTAATGGGGCCGTCAGAGACATTGGTGTGAGGCCATTACTGATTACAGGTTGGCGTAAGGCCCTAGGTATGGCCCCTCTTGGGCCGGCAAGGACTCTCAGAGGCACGCTAGCGGCCATAGGAGGCCGGTAAAGGGCCCTCAGAGGCCGCCAGTAGCCTTCAGAAGCCGGCGTGTAACCCTCATGGACAATTTAGTGAGGCTTCTTTGGACTCACGAGGTGCTGTTACGAGCCCTATTCTTTCTGAATCGAAATATGGCCAGCATAGACCCTGAGCGGTAAACTGGTGCCACAGAGCCCCTCCGACCCGAGAGGTCCTCTGAATGCGATGGGGGGGGGGACTAGATGGCACGTGCCTCCTGGGCCCCCCTGACTACGCTACTATTTCATTTGCGTCATGTCAGGTATTTTGGGCTTGCACCCCAACTTGAAGAATGTTCCTGGGCCCCTGTGACGATATATTGTATTCATTATAGGTATCCGTCATTAGCTTGCACTCTCTACAATCTGCCCATACTATTATTTGTCCCTAGACGCGCTTACAGAGAGCAGGGATAAGCCCATACAGTCAACGGCCTGTTAGTTTCACAAACAGCCGCCAGGGGCGCTAGGGTCGCCTACGTTGTGAGATAGGGCAAACTTCTCTCGCTCGGCGCCGCCTGGGGGTTAAAATTTGCGGGAAATTAACAATGCCACGCCCTTTCCACATGAGTGGAGCACAAAAAATCGATGGAGCACCTTGCATTGCGATTAGTGACACACCCTAGTGTACGTACTGTACAGGGAGAGTTAGTTCTATGGCGATATCATATTGGTTTATTGTAAAAATCGGCATCTTACAAAACACTAAAATCCACCATGAACAATAATTTTCTATCTCTTCTTTTACATGATCACTTTGTCTCACTGATCTTGATTTTATTGATCCTCGCGCAGAGGCGCATGAATCTGGCATTGCAGTCCTCTGATGGACGTGCGCATCTAAATGAAACATGATTGAATGAATTGTAACGAACTGGTCTGTACTGTATTGGCTCACCCAGCGCACTGCCGGCCCGCGGCCCCAACCGGCCCGCGGCCGACCCCACCGTGCCCCAGGGCAGACGCGGCGGCAGTACACATACGCGCTGACGTCACGGCAAGCCGTGACCTCACCGATCCGTGACAGAGCAATAGAGCATCAAGGCAGAGCAATACACTACACTCCCCCTTCCTTAACTAAGCACTTCCTCGTAACACTAGTACAGGTAACAGGCCATCACATCCCACTCCCTGCCTGATATAGCTCAGGCGCTCTCCGCGTTCGAGTCGAGCGCCGCAATGTCCGCTCCACAGATGTCGCCACCTCTGGATGAGGCCCAGTCCCATCCGGTGAGCTCGGCGCCGGACACGTTCCCGGAGCGGACGACGGCCAAACGTCCGCCGACGGCTGCGGCGGCCCACCCGGCTCGAGTGACGACGGGGCGGAGACGGGCGACGGCCGATGCGACGATTGAGCCGGTACCCCCGGCCGCGTCGGCGACGACCGAACATTGGGCGGAGGCGGCTGCTGAGTGAGCGCCCCCGGCCGCGACTGCGACGGCTGCACGGCGGACGACAGCGGTGCCGGCGGTGCAGTCCCCTGAGACGCTCCACCTGGTCGCCCGGGCTGGACAGCAGCATCGGACGACGGCCGCCGGACCTCCCGTGACGCCGCCTCCGGCGGACTGATCGGCTCAGCTGACTGCCGCCTCCTCAGCTGGTCACCATGCCGTCTCCAAAGCCTGCCATCAAACAAACGGACCACGTAAGACACCGGGCCATCGGTGCCGACGATCACCCCAGGCAGCCACTGCAACCCAACAGCGTAATTTCTCGCGAACACCGCATCGCCAACCAGCATTTGCCGACACTGAGCCGTTCGGTCAAAGTACGCCCTCTGTCTGTTTTGCTGCTGAAGGACTGTCTTGCCTATATCTGGAAACAACAGATCTAGCCGTGTGCGAAGCCTGCGACCCATCATTAGTTCAGCGGGTGTCACCATGGTTGTTGAATGAGGTGTTGTGCGCTGTCTCATCAGCCATCTGGTGAGTCTCAGGTCCCACGGTCCGCCGCTATCAGACTCCCTTTGTAAGGCCAACTTTACCTCCTTGACGGCTCGCTCTGCGAGACCATTACCCTGGCTGTGACGGGGCTCTATCGTGCGATGCACAATGCCGTTCTCTCTCAAGAATTGTTGAAATTCAGTCGAGGTAAAAGTTGTCCCATTATCAGTGCAGATCATATCCGGCAATCCCCATCTCGCAAACATAGCCCGGAATTTATTGATCGTCGGAGCCGATGCGGTACTGTACATGACTTCTGCCTCTATCCACTTAGAATGACTGTCAACAACTACCAACACATACTTCCCCTTCTCTGGCTCGGCAAAATCCGCGTGAATGCGGGACCAGGGTTTCGTGGGCCACGGCCACGGATGTAACTCACGATGCGGTGGCGAGTCACGACTCTCCTGGCACGCAGTGCACCCTCCGACGACTGCTTCCACATCCTGGTCGATGCCGGGCCACCAGACGACGCTCCTCGCCAACGCCTTCATCTTGCCGATGCCCGGATGTCCGACGTGCAGCTCCATCAGCACAGCTCTGCGGGCAGCATCTGGAATCACAACACGATGACCCCATAGCAGAACCCCAGCCGTCAGTGACAGTTCATCCTTTTTAGGGGCGAAACATTTGAGCGATTCCGGAATTTGAGTGGGCCACCCTCCAAACTGTACAAGGCGCACAACGTTCGACAACACTGGGTCCATGCTGGTCAGCTTGGCCACCTGCTTCGCATCTAACCAGCTTTGCGCTGTCAACAGCTCCAACTCTTCAGGCTGAGGACCTGCTTCCCCGACCTCAGCACCAGACCAGTCCTCATCTGCATGAAGAACCAGTTCCTCCGGCTGCGCTCCTTCAATGTAAGGACTGGGCAGCCTGCTCAGCGCATCGGCATTGGCAATCTCATGTGTTCGCTTGAACTGAATGCGGTAATTATAACCAGACAGTTTGAGAGCCCAGCGCCTGATTCGCCCAGACGCCATCTCAGGCAACGCCTCATGCTGCCCAAACAACTTGAAGAGCGGCTTATGATCCGTGACGAGGAAGAATGGTCGAGTTACCCCGCACAGATACTGGTGGAACTTGGTTACTCCCATGATGACCGCCAAGCCCTCACGCTCAATTTGACTGTACTTTTGCTCTGCTACAGACAATCTTCTAGAGGCGAAAGCGATCGGCGCCTCTACACCATTATCATCGAGATGAGCCAATACTGCAGCGACCCCCCTGCATGATGCATCGGTGGTAAGAATCAGCTGTTTTTCTGGATCAAAATGAACCAACAAAGTGTGGGAGGCCAGAGCGTCTTTCACAGAATTAAAACTCTTCTCTTGTGAAGGCCCCCATGTCCAGCTGGCCCCTGCCCTTAAAAGGTCATACAGGGGAGACAAGACCTCGGCACGCTGCGCTATAAATCGCGAGTAGTATGTAACAAGTCCGAGGAAAGACTTGAGCTCAGTCACATTAGCGGGGCGGGGGGCATCCACGATAGCCTTCACCTTGTCTGACGTCGGCCGAATTCCATCCCTGCTCATGTGATGTCCCAGATACTCCACGCTGTCTTGAAAGAACGCGCACTTGGTCTCCCGAACTCGGAGTCCAGCAGCCTCCAGTCGACTGAAGATCGATCCCAGCACCTTCCAGTGTTCTTCCTCTGACTGGCTGCCAACGAGCACATCATCAAGGTAAACAACCACATCTGGAATGCCGCTCAAAACGCGCTCTATCTCCCTCTGGAAAACTCCTACAGCACAGTTTACTCCAAATGGCATCCTGGTGTACTGCAGGAGCCCACGAGAAGTGTTGATGGTGAGAATATCTCGTGAGTCTTTATGTATCTTAACCTGATTGTAGGCCTGTGCTAAATCAATTTTGGACCAGACTTTCTTCGATCCTAGCTTTGCAAACATTTCTTCTGTCTTGGGCAGTGGGTACTTGTCAAGTTTCACAGCTCTGTTTGCAGTCAGTTTAAAATTCGCACAGACACGAATGCGCCCGTCAGGCCGCACGACTGGTACAATGGGCGCTGCCCAGCGGCTGTTCCTAACTGGGACCAGCACACCACTAGCAATGTCTGCGTCTAACTGATCCTCAACCTTCTGTTTGTACGCAAATGGTAAAGAGCGAGCTTTGAAAAACTTAGGAACAACACTTCTGTCGATATCAAGCCTGACTTCTACACCTTTCAATGTGCCCAGCCCCTCACGAAACACAGAGCCATACTTGCTTTTGAGTCGTTGTAGATGTGAAGTCCTCAGCGCGTGCACGTCAGACCAGCAGATCTGCATCTTCTCCAGCCAGTTCCGACCCAGGAGGCATGGAGCCGATCCATGGACGACCACGATCGGGAGTTGCCTGTACAGCCGACCATTGTACGTCACGTCAGTGCTGAATTCACCCAGTACAGGTATTGTGTTGCCAGTAAACGATCTCAGTTTAACGGGGCTGCTATTCAACTTCGGACGCTTTTGAAAACGACGGTATGTGTGTTCATCAATCAATGTGACACCAGCGCCCGTGTCTAACTCCATGTTAACCTGCGTGCTACAAATCTGAACAGGGCACCAAATAGGTGGCGAGCTCACCTGGGCGCGGTTAACCACATACACCGGCTGACTCGGAGTCGACAAGTTCTCCAGCAGGACCGGCTCCACCGCGCCGCTGTCATCATCAGGCTGCTCTCCAGACACTCCCTGGTGGTGAACTGAAGACGCCTGCTGCCGGCAGCATCTTGAAATGTGACCCTGACGACCACATGCGTAACATTTGGCGGACTCGAATCGGCATTTCCCACCATGCCGATTGCCACAGCGCCAGCACGATCGGCCGTACTTAGCTGAGTCAGCTGATGTCGGCGCGTCCCTGTGCCCGGGCTGGGCGCTTCTGATGGTCCGCTGCGGCCCACTGGCCACCCGGTTAGCAGCCGCGGCCACCTCTCCGCTGAAACAAGAAGCCTCTCTCTGCACCGCCTCCATGGCCTTGGCCTGCTGCAGGGCAGATTCCAATGTCAGATCAGACTTGCTCAACAGCTCTCGCTGACACTTGACATCTTTCATTCCACATACGAGCTGGTCCCTGAGCGCCGTATTCAAATAGTCACCGAAATTACATTCCTTGGCCATTTTCCTCAGCGTAGCAATATACTCACTCACAGACTCATTCGACTGTTGTGTCCGCTTGAAAAATTTGAACCGTTCCGCTATTTCCACGCTTTGAGGCTTGAAATGCCGAAGTAAACTGTCTCTTATTTCGGCCAAGGACGCATCAGAAAGCCCCACTGGGTGTAACAGATCCTTAATTATATCAAACGTGCCATGGCCTACAGTTGACAGAAAAACAGCCTTCTTCCGTTCCGCTGCTGAGATCCCATTTGCCTCACAGTAAAAATCAAACCGTTCCAAGTAACTTCCGATTCCTTCATTGCCCGGATCAAACTCACCCAACGCTCCATGTACCATACTTGTGCCAAATGTTCCACCTCCTCTTCAAGTCCAGTGATTCTCGTCGCCACTGTAACGAACTGGTCTGTACTGTATTGGCTCACCCAGCGCACTGCCGGCCCGCGGCCCCAACCGGCCCGCGCTGACGTCACGGCAAGCCGTGACCTCACCGATCCGTGACAGAGCAATAGAGCATCAAGGCAGAGCAATACACTACATGAATGAATCAATGAGAATGAATGATGCTCGAGACGTCCTCAACATCGGTTAAAATCCAGCTGTGGTTTTGTGGTTTCTTGGCTTTTGGCGGCATTTTTTTTATCAAAGAGGAGTGGCGAATAATTTGCTTTAGGTATCCTGCCGTCCATCCGTGCACTACCCGTTCCGTCCTCGGGCGGACGGGTGGGCGGCTCGCTCCGGCAGCAGGGAGCGGCGTGGGGCTGGGTGTGTCGCCTCATGTTTCTGGATAAATCGGTCACAGGTGGGAGCCGGCCAGGGAGCCGGTATACTTACCAACAAAGAAACACCTGACGGAAAGTGGTGCGCCGTGCGAGCGCCAAGCCTGTAGCTGTAGCAATCGCTGTAAAACATGATTTTTCATATTTTTAGACAGCTATTGAAGCGAATGAAGTCAAGCTCACTTTATTGAGTGAGAGCTTGCTTCGATTGAACAGTTACTAAGGGAGTATCAAGTATCAAATAATTTGGCATCGAAAACCAAATATCAGACGTATACTCACGTGTCAGAAAAACGTTGCATTACATAAGCACAAAAGTTTTGTGGGGATCACAATGGAAAGACATAATGCTGACATCGCCGCATTCGTGACCCTGTATGCATGAAAAAAGAGACATTTCAGGCTGCTCTTCGATGCCTGAGTTCGGGTCACTGGCCCTTGTGTTATACTCACTGAAAAGCTGTAAAGATCCCGATGAAAAGCAGCCTCATCATAAAAATGAGGCAAAAAGTTAAACATATTTTGTCAGCGTGCAAGTACTTAACCCTCGCCCGCACATGCCATTTTCCCATCCTAGAACGCACATGGGGGGGGGGGGGCACCACCCCGCGCCATTTCGTTCCTGTTGGAGATAGAGCTTAGCGGTAAAGAGCGAAAAGATTCTTTGGGAAGAGACGAATATAATGATACCCAGTTTTACCTTCTCAGGTCAGTCATTGACCTTCCAGCCTCCAGGTCAGGTCAAACTAAAAAATGTTGCTGTTTTGGGTCACCGTTGGATATCAAGTGCGCTGCTTATCATATACCGATGACGATGCTGTTTTCTGGTGCCAAGCCAGCTAGAACCTCTTTGTCACACTACCCGACCAGATTTTTGCTGCTGAGGTCATTTCAGGTCAAGTTAGGTCAAGGTCAATTATATGTGTTTGTATGTCTGTGTGTGTCTGTGTGTATACTGATGTGTGCACCGATTGTTTTTGTGTCCATATTACATGAAATCATGATCTGAGAAGCTTTTACCAAAAATGCAGTAAAAAAAACTTCACAAAAAGTAAATTCAGCTTGCCTAAAACGCAATTGTCTTATATGACCTAGGTTGACCTTGACCCTGACCTTGATACCTGTACATCGTCGAACAACATGTTCCATGATAGGTGGGAGGTAAGACTGGCAAAAAAGGCCGAAATCAAGGTGTCAAAAGCTCACAAAGCCCATGGCAAGCGCAAAATGTTGAGAATTGGCCATTTGGGTCATGACATGACCTGAAAAACAAGGTCATATCGCCGAAACCAAAAATCACAGAAACTTGAAGTTTTCAGTGGACATCAAAAAAGGATAGAGGAGCAGCTATACGAAAAATCAGCCTTCTAGCTTTAAAAATGCTGAGTGCAGAGCAGAAAGACTACCTGGGGGGGGGGGGGCAACCCCCCCCAAACCCCACCCCCCATGTGCGGGGAGGGTTAACAGCAATGCAATTGTGTGTTGCGAATTCATGCTTGTGGCATAATTTGCCTGTATGCATACATGCCTGCATACCAGAACGGCTTATTTTTGTATCAAGTAAATTTCCGTACAAGTTTGGTTGTGTAACACCAGGTTCGACCGGTCTCGGATTGCAGAACAGGTTTGACCTGTTGACTGAAGCCGCGAAGTTATATCCCGTTATTTGTACCAAATTACATGCCTGCCTCAAAGAATTTCAATTATAATAGCAAATGAAATTTGAGGCACCCTCTAATTATTGGATATATGCTAATGATCAGAATGAATGTAAAGCAAGTTGAATTTGCGTATATGGTGGAAGTGTTGGTACGTCATTGTTATTGCTAATCTGTAGGTACTTTGTTGTACCTATATGTGCATTCTATCCCTCAGCTAGCAACAAACTTCATCCCGCAAGCTGAGCACTAATCACGTGTACGGTTGGCCATTTCGCGTCCATGGTGTGGCCAAGATTCTTACGGTGTGGCTACGTTGGTGGCCTGGCACGTGCCTGGGAATTTGAACTGGAAAATACTCATGACCATGCACCGTGACCCCTGGGGCATTCCACGATAGATCGTACCAGGCCCGTCACCCTCATCTCTCAGATTTTTAATGAAAATCGGTCCTAGGGGTAATCATAGGCCCCAAAGACGCCTGGCAAAATATCAGACTTCTCAGATCAAAACTTTTTTAGTTATATTGCATTACATTTTTTTTTAACTTCGGTATGTAACGGTGAGTTTGATGGCCTATAAGTCAAGAACGGGCTAAGCAACCAATAAAAAGTAAACAACACTAAGCTTGCGATGAATCAAAAATTAATATTACTATTTAAAAATTCCAAAGAAAAAAATTCATTGTTGAGCAAAAACCTTAATCTTTTTTCATTTGCCTCTAATGACTTTTGAGACCAAAATTTTTCACATTTTTATTTTTTTCAAAATAAACTTCATGTCATTGCAAATCGACATGCAAAAAATTAGAAAGGTGTTCTTTCTATAATATAAGTTCCTCATTTTCCCGCAAAAAAAGGGTTTCGGAGGGGTTGATACGACCCCAGCACGCCGTTTTGCTTCTAATAGAGCTAGAGCATCGCGGAAAAAAACGAGCGTATGCGCCGTTACAAGTCGCAGCGATTGGTACCCGATTTTAAGGTCTCAGGTTAACCGGTAGCGTCTGAGGTCAGGTCACGTGACTGACGTTACGGGTTCGGTTTTTAGTAAATAACTTCGCAAAAATGGCCGCAGAGCCGCGATTTTGGCATCATTGTGTTCGCCTAGCTCAGGTGCATCGAATGGTATACTTTTTGCTAGGGTGAGGTCAACTTAACCCTCGCATGTGTGCGGCGTTTGCCAGCTTCTAATGTGTAGGGGGGGGGGGGGTCGGTTGGACCCCCCCTTGCCGTTTGGCCCCTGATCGAGCTAGAGCTTCGCGGAAAAAACGAGCGTGTTGCCCGTGACGAGAGGAAGCCGATGATACCCAATTTTAAGGTCCTAGGTCATTGGTTGACCTTCCAGGTCAGGTCAATGACCCAAAGTCGGGAAAATCGGGACCTGTTAGAAAGTCGTAAAGTGTGGCTGCTAAGGGGTTTTTCGGGGTGCTGATCACGAATATCGTGTTAGTTTTGATCACAGATGATGTCTTGAAGCATTTAGACCAGGTCGGGTCAGGTCAGGTCAAGTCAACCAATAGGCGTCGTGACGGGTATTCGTAGTACGTGTCAACCGCCTCTGACAGCTTCGTAACATGTTACGAAGTCACCAAAACTACTTCGTAAATGTTCAAATGGTTGCTAAATTCGAATTCAGCTCCAAAAACTAGCCTAGAAACATGTAAAACTCGAAAAAGTGACCCGAGGTCACCCGAGGTCAACAAAGGTCAATGACCTGACCTGACCTTCAGGTGACCTTGACACACACGGGAGTAACATCAAATCACATGTTTGAACGTTTGAAACCACGAAAAGCTTGCAAACACGCGGCTAGTGCGAGGCGACACACGCGAAATCGCGATTCCGGCCAAACATGGTCTCGGAAAAGAGGTCACAGGTCAAAGGTCATTTGGGTCAGGGTCATGAAATTTTCAGGGTAGGTGTCAAATTGATCAATGCGAGGGTACTGAGAGTTTCGTCGCGATCGGCCGCTTTTTACGCGAGTTATTTGCGAAAAACCATGGGGGGGTCCATCCGACCCCCCCCCCCCCCCTACACATGCGAGGGTTAAGTAGTTGACCTCGAGTCAAGGTCAGGTCAGAGCCCCTCAGGTCACAAAGCTGGGCAAAGGGTATCATATGGCATATCATTCGATTCGGAAGGTCTTCCCGAGTTCATTGGTGGCTTTCCCGACTCTCTAGCTCCATTTGATCGGGAGTTATTGACGAAAAACTCGTACGACCCTAGTGACGTCATAAATGACGTCACGCAAGGTTAACAATGCAAAAGTAAAGCATTGGACTTACAAGGAGTGCATGAAATCACGATACCATGTACGTAGGATAGTTTTAGATCATTCTCGGCGCCAAAATAACAGTTTTTATATTTCCCCATTGATTTATAACAGTGATGTCACGTGACCGACCTGACCTCATGTAACCTTGAAAAATTCCCAGATATACAAGTTGTGAGACCTCTGGAGGACACCATGTATGCGTCCTGTAACTTTCATCTCGGACAGCTATGGTCATTGGCGTCCAAAACAATGTCAGAACCAAACAGCCTTTTTCACCCTCGCGCTTATAGGAAAGAGGGTTGGATGAACCCTCTTTTCACTTTTTTTTCAGATGACTCAGACTTAAATTGAAATTTCAGTAACCCGTGATGTCACTAGGCAGCTTTACCACGCCATTTGTAAGCTCCCCTCCCGAAATCACTATTCGAAACCGTTATCGTGACGTAAAATAAATACATTTATAGAAAGAACACCTTCCTAATTTTTTGCATACTTCTTAACAATGAGGCAAATATTCCTTTAAAGAAATAAAAATTCAAAAAAAAAATTGGTCCCAAAGTCCAAAAAATACAAATGAAAGAAAACTCGATATGTCATATATCAAAAACAGCGTATTTTTCGAAATTTAAAAAATGCATATTAATCTCTGTTTCATTGCAAGTTCAATGTTATATAACATTTGGCATTTGAATAATCCGTCTTAGAGTTACAGC